TTAAAACTGATCAGCCAGGGCTCCCTTCTAGGACAGAGTTCCACACCAAGAAGAATGAATCAACTGGTTATGGAATCAAATTGAGCAAGCTAGAGAAAAACAACAGGATGAAAAGAAAAGTCCAGGTAAAAATGGAGGAGGGGAACAGAGCCAGGAAATCTCAGAAAGAAAGCCACCATAATTTGAATATTAGGGAAAAAGAAACAGTCAAAGGGCCATGACAGTAGAAAAGCTAATCTGAACCAGGTTCCTTCTAAATAAAGTTCCAAAAAATGAGCTTCACATAAAAAATGGGAAATAAAAATATCAAGGTCAAATCCTATGCAATACTGTTATAAATTAAAAGAGAATAAATAAGGGGCAGAATAAGATCCCTATAGACAATAAAAGTTCACCAGAAAGACAGACACACAGAACACATCAAAACTATTACTTGCATTTAAAATGTCAGTCATTTAAAAACTGATAAAAGCCATAAAAGAATAACCATGAATCAGAATTAGATATGAGGTGACAGAATTCAGGGAAGAATTAGAAATTTAAAAAAAAAAACATTTTGGACATGAAAACTAAACTAGAAGGAGCACAGGTGTGAATAAACACAAAAGATAACGCCTTAAATAGGTGAAAAGGGAAAAAAATTTAACTCAAAATGAAGATAACAATTCACAAAAAAGTGACATATATTGATGATAGACAAGAAGACCCAATGCAAATAATAGAAAATCCAGAAGAAAACCAAAGCAAGGCAAAAGAACAAACAAAACAATAATTCAAGTAAATGTTCTTGAAATTAAAAAGAAAAGGGGGGCACCTAGGTAGTTCAGTCTGCTAAGCGTCCTTTCAGCTCAGGTCATGATCTCAGGGTTGTTAGATAAAGCCCTGCATCAGGCTCCACGCTCAGCATGGAGTCTGCTCGAGATTCTCTCCCTGTCCCTCTGGCCCTCCCTCCCCACCCTCACAAATAAATCTTTTTAAAAAAATAAAAAGAAAAAAAGAAAAGGATGTGAAATTACATAATGGAAGAGTACATTGCATGTCTGAGAACATGAATACTGAATAACACCAACACATACTCTAGTAAAAATTACTGGAGTGAAAGAAAGAAGGAAATATGGCCACCTTTAAGCAACAGTGTTCTTACCAGCCTCAGGTTATCACTGATTCTAATCAACTGTCATCCTTGTATATTCTTTTTCTTACACCTTTCCACTTATAATCAATTAAGATTCTACATTAATCTAAACATGGAATTTAGAAAAGAAAAAAAATTTACAGTCGACAAAGGTAAAAACATTAAAAAACCAAGCAGTATCTGCTTAAAGCATACTAAACAGATTTGTCATTGTGCCTTTATGAAAGTCCACTAAAATGACAAGTAGAGATTAAAAGCAGTAGTCTATTCAGATAGTGGCAGAAAAGACAGAGATGGGTCAAGAAAATTTGGGAAGCTGGAATACAAATACATGAGTGGGATGGATTTAGCTGGTGAAGGTTGCAACCTATGGGCCTATAGACAAATGAAACTAAGAAGCCACTTGATTCTAAACACAAACCCAAGTAAAGCTCAGTAACAAAGAGAACAGCAGATGAAACATGAAAGTTGGTTTCCTCAGGACGTCCAGGTGGCTCAGTCGGTTTGGTGTCTGACTCTTGGTTTCCATTCAGGTCATGATCTCATGGGTCAATGGACTGAGCACTGCATCACGCTCTGCGCTCAGCGGGGAGTCTGCTTGAAGATTCTCCCTCTGCCCCTCCTCCCAACCACACGTCTTCTTTCTCTAAAATAAGTAAATCTTAAAAAAAAAAGAAAGTTGGTCTCCTCACAAAAGTCAACCATTCATTCACCAACTTCACAGAAGACCTGAGCAAAGTTGAAGCATGAAATGATAAACTTGGGCATATCAAGTGGTTAACAGCAGGGTTAGCCTATCGAAATTGGGGGTTTAAGTAAAAAGTCTTGAGAGTGAACTGTGGATATCCTTAGCCAACCCAAGAGAAAAGTGAACTACACCCATTAAAGTGCCTCATCCATAAACAGAACTCCCAATCAGCTTTTTAGTGTCTTACTCTTACACATGAAAGCAGCCAAATATTACCAAAGATTTAAGGAAATCTGAGAAAACAGAGAACAAAACAAGAAAAACATTAACTTGAAGAAAACAGAAGACAAAAAGAAGAAAACTTGAAAACAACCACTAAAATTAATGAACATCTTCAGAGAGGTAAAATGTTACATCCACCAAAGGCCAACCCAGGGGTTCCCAAATTTAGTTGGTTAAAAAAAAACAATGAGCTCTTTTTAGATTCAGGCAGGTTATTACTTACGTAAACAGTGAGAAAACAGTAGTCAAAGGTGCCAAGTCCTCATGGCCCTTGTGCAGGGAGACATCAAAGTAAAAGGGACCAGATGGTTTCAAAGAAACCAAGGTGACAGATGGGAAAACTGGTGCAAGACATCTTTCTGCAAGACAGGGAGCCTCCCTCAAGAAAGAAAGGTAAATTAAATGTTCTTGTCAGACTCTTCACAAGACTACCTGTCTGGCCATGTTCCTAGGAGGACTGCAGGTTGTTGCACCAAGACGTAGGCTGGCCGGAGGTTCAAGCTCTGCCTGCATGGCCTACCAGGATATGAGCAAGGTCACCTGGACACCAGGGTGCAGCCACTGCCCTACAGACACAAGAGCATAATGCTACTTTTAGGAGGGAATATTCAAAAAAATAAATAAAAAATAAACTGGAATATTCAGAGAGTAAAAAATAAAAAGATCTTTGAGATATTAAAAATATGATAGAAATTCTTTTAAAAATCAGTGGAAGAACTGGAAGAGAATACTGAGAAAATATACAAGAAAGTAGAAGAAAAAGATGAAAAACAGAAAATATGAGATAAAAAAATGTAATAACCAGGCTAGGTACTGGTATCTTAATAAAAGGAGCTCCAAAAATAGATTTTAGAAAAAAAAAAAGAGGGAAGGAACTTACCTAAAGTAGTATTTAAAAATTTCCCAGACCTGGGGCGCCTGGGTGGCTCAGTCGTTAAGCGTCTGCCTCCGGCTCAGGTCATGGTCCCAGGGTCCTGGGATGGAGCCCCACATCGGGCTCCCTGCTCCGCGGGAAGCCTGCTTCTCCCTTTCCCACTCCCCCTGCTTGTGTTCCCTCTCTCGCTGTGTCTCTCTGTCAAATAAATAAAATCTTTAAAAAAAAAAAAAATTTTCCCAGACCTGAATGACACTGAATTTTCCCATTAAAAAAGTTCACCGGTGATTAACTCAATGGATGAAAAAGATCCATTCTCTGACACATCACCAAGAAATTTCAGAAGATCCTAACAGCTTCTGAAGAGAAACAAACAGAAGACACATTTAAGTATCAAGAATCAAAATGACAAATGACTTCTCAATAGCTTCAGTGGAAGTTGGAAGGCATGGGAGTAATCCTATAAAATTCAGGACAATGATTTCAGCCTAGACATCAACACTCACATAATCTTTCAATGCAGTGTAGAGATAGAACCGAGCCATGCGGAGTCACACCAATGAATCAAAACAATTTACTCTTCCTGCATTCTTTCACAGGAAGCTGCTAGAAAAGGTACACCACCAAAATGAGGGAATAAACTAAAAGATGAAGACAGAAGATTCAGGAAATTGGGATATCCAACATGAAAGAGGTGAAGAATAACCAGTCCAGATTAGCATAGAACAGAGTTCCAGGAGGAATGTCTTTAGAGAAAAAAAAAAGATAGGTTATATAATGTATTTGAACCTACTAAGAAAAGATTTTTAATCCTGGAGGACAGTTAGGGTATAAGTTAATGTGTGCTACATAGAACACTGAGCTATTGAAATAATAAGGTAATTACATTAATTCCCCAAAACTTAAAACATAACTGGACCCAAAAAGAAAATGTAATTACAGATACCACACAACCCAGTTGTGAATAGTACTTACATAGTCAAAATAGTGTTAATATTGAATGTTATCAAAAAGTGTGAGTAACTGTACCATTTTGAAAGGATGGAGGAGGAAGGTATGTGTTTAGGGAAGAGGTAGAAGGAATAGATCTTCATCTTCATATTCCAAAATAGATCAATAAAACCTAAAACTGAACTATCAAGAAAGAGCATAATAATCATGTTACTTAGAAATACAGAGATAAATAGAAAAATCACTAAAAGATTTGAAAGTGGTTATCTCTTAGTAGCAAAAGCTGGTATAAAAAGAATGGGGGGGCGCCTGGGTGGCTCAGTTGGTTAAGCGACTGCCTTCAGCTCAGGTCATGATCCTGGAGTCCTGGGATCGAGTCCCGCATCAGGCTCCCTGCTCGGCAGGGAGTCTGCTTCTCCCTCTGACCCTCCTCCCTCTCATGCTCTCTGTCTCTCATTCTCTCTCAAATAAATAAAATCTTTAAAAAAAAAAAAAGAATAGGGAAGGAGAGTTTTCATTTTAAGCCTTGGGGAAAAAACCCTTTACTAACTTAAAATTATATACTTATTATCTTGAAATTAAATAAAACAGTAAATTAAAGATAACTTACATTTACGGGCCAATGTGAATAATTCTAGACAGTGTACTTACCAAAAAATCCTGACAATAAAGACTCTAACAGGCAAAAGGAAAAAAGTAAAAAACCAAAAACTGGATTGTTCATAGCCAGCAACACTGTAGTACAAAAAAGGATTAAACAGACTGCTTCAGGAGCACCTGGGTGGCTCAGTTGGTTAACAGGCTGCCTTAGGCTCAGGTCATGATCCCAGGGTCTTGGGATCTCAGGCTCCCTTCTTAGTGGGGAGTCTGCTTCTCACTCTCCCTGTGCCCCTCCCCCCACGCTTGCGCGTGCGCGCGCTCTCAAATAAATAAAATCTCTAAAAAAAAAATAAACAGGCTGCTTCATTTTTGAATCAGGGAAAAGGGGAAGGGAAGTAAGAAATAAGTTTACCAAATTGTACAGCATTCTGTACTGAAATCACACAGTATTATAGCAGAAACAAATCTGATATATTATTGGCTAACAATTTATTTCATTTTACAGTTACTTTCCAGGGTAACACAGCTGGTTTGTGCAGAATCGAACCCTCTGCTCTTAACTCAAAGGCTTTTCACTTCATCACAATGCATTTTTAAAATGATTATCAAACAAATATATTTGCATTCCTATTGATAATATTCATTAGCTTTTTTTTGCTTTAAAAAGGGAATCTACTTGAAAGAAAACGTAGAGAGGCAATTGCAAATCCAACAAGGGCATCACATAGACAGGCTACATATGCCATTATGCCTTATTTCATTGACTGGAAATGTTCAAGAAAGGCATTTGATGGGGAAAAGATTAACATTAAAACAAGCAAATAACCTGTCCCCTCACCGAGTGTGTGAATTAGCAGGATCATCAAAAAGTGGCCCAAGGCCGAACGCAGAGGACCTGTTATTATCAGTTACCACCTATCATTCAAGTTCCTGATCAAATACCAGGATTACTTCAATTTGAATAAAAAATAAGGCTGTCAAAACCTTTTTTGATCTTCTAATTTACTAATTACACATTTCATAAAAATTCTCCTTACTTTGGCAAAAGGGAGAAGCATAAAAAGCAGTAGCACCTGTATCTTTACTATTACTCAGTCTATTCTGTGCTAAAATCTATACTGTAACATCCCTGAGTTTGAGATTCTGAACAAGACTAAACACCTCAGAGGTATTTAATAAATACCTATGAGCTGACAATTTAAATGGCAACATTAGATCAATATATGGTATCCTCCCATTTACGTAGGCTTCCCTAAAACAAACATATTCCTATTCTCCAAAGCCATTCATTTTTCAAAAAGCTTTTGTGTCTTTCAACATTAAAAAAAAAAAAAAGAGAAGAAGAGCTGATTTTCCAAGGTAGGAAACTAAGTGGCTTCTAATTTGTTAAGCTCATTCTACCTCACACATACCACTCTAGTCAAATGTCCTCTAGACCATTCTGCACAATGAACAGAGCAGACACACAATGCTTCATGAAGGTGGTAACTAGGCAGCTACAAAGCACTCAGACCCTTATCTACTGCTATATGTTTAATCACACAAATGTCATCTACTGCATTTTATAATTAGTAAGCAGCAATAGAGTTTGTTCCGTACTACTTTGTTATTATTTTAACTTCCAGTTGGAATAAAAAATTATTTTGCCATAATCAATGCTTTTTCATCTTGAAGCAGAACTCACTATTCGAATCCTACCCACATTCACCAGCCTAAGAGAAGTACCCCAGATGACATAGGCCTGTGCTACATTAGAAAGATTCCCGGGGGGGGAGAAATATGACAGGATTATTTAAAGGCATATTCAGAAACAACAAAAAAATAAATTTGTAACTTTGCAACTCTATGTTTCATAAACACTCTCTATTTCCACAAGAAACTCTCTAAAATTTACATATAATTAAGGCAGCTAATATAACACAATTCCAACAAGTTTTATGTATGAGGAAAATCCTCATACATTAGTAGAGCATGGTTTATGAATAAAATATAGTAATTTGTTAGCAAGTATAAAAACAGTGGTTTCAGATTTATATTTTAGAAAAAAAATTAATTTATTTTAAGAGTCTCTACCTAAATTTCAGTATCAAACAACTACAATTAGTGATGGGGCAAAAAGCATCCATTATTGTGCAGGATGTTAATTTATTTACAAAAACTATACAAAATTAGATTAATTATAACATTGACTTATCAAAGCTTCCTGAAATTAATTTTGCTTTTGGAAATGTATCAAAAGTCTTCAGATCCAGGATGATAGTCTTTATTATTTTTAATTCATGGAATTATAGCACATCAGATCTTCAAGCAAAAACATGAGATAAAAGCCTGTACAATAAAATATTCTTTTCCTAATAGCTTGGAATGTAAATGCAAATATGTTCCCTTTTTACTGAAGAAAAAAACTTGAACCAAGTGTCCAATAATATCAAATACCTGTTAGAATGGCTTGTCTGCTGGAATTAAAGTTGGGCAATTACTTCTACATTTTTAAAAATGGCCTTAAGTCCTTTTTTTTCTTTTATAAAAAACATTTTTCTCAGCCATTTCAGACCTCTAAGCCTTACAACAAAAAATGTTCTTCTGTTTTTACCAGTAAATTCACACCCACAGAAGGTGTCTCCAAGACAGACTTATTTTAAAAGTGCATATAAGCATGACTAAATTTCTTAAATTGTTAACAAATCTAAAAGCAATAATTTAATATTCTACCACAAAATATAGGTAACCTTAAGAGCAACATGCTTGGTCAATCTTTCTTAAGCTTTTAGGTTTGATGCCAAAACATTTAAAAATGAAGGAAAAAATACAGTGACTCTTTGCTAATCGCTTTTCAGATATTAATTTGCAGACACAGCTAAATGCTCATCTAACAAAGTATCCAGGTTATCCAATGATATCTGCCATGAATTCATAAAGCAATAACACATATATAAAAGTAACGACAGTAAAAAAAAAAACCACAGGTATTTTAGGCCTAAGATGAGTTTATCTAATAAGGATTACATGAGAAATATCACATAAGACTCAAAATAAACTTCATATACAAAATTATATGATGGGGCTTTGCTCAAACACACCTAGAACTCAGATTCAAGTCAAATAACTAGGCTGGTTTTTTTATATCACCAGCCTTCATTAGGGCTTTAATAGCTCTCGCCCTCATCTCAAGTTCTAGCAGCTCCAGCTGCTGTGCGGAAGGCTGAACATCTTCTGGTGGAGGAACAGTCAGGGTGGCTGCTTTGGGTTCCTTTGGGCTAGACTCTGCCAGTCCCAGAATCTCATTCACACTTTTCTCAATGTCTTTCTCCAGGTCATCTATCTGACCAGCTTCACTTTGGACTGTATTTTCTGGGACCTCAGGAGCAGCAGCTTCTTCGTTGCATGGGCCTTCTATGTCGCTGTCATAAGCATCTGCATTTATACTGAGTACATCACTATCTTCCCCTTTGCCTGTAACAAACAAAAAAGGGGGAAAGAACCATGTAACCTAAATGCCCTCATCAAAATTTCCTTTCTACTTATGATTAAAAGGCTTCTTTGACCCCACCTCCCACCATGGAGTCCCAAACACATTCCACAATCTCTATCCCATCCCCTTTTCCCCTGACTCCTCAACTTTGAAAACAGATATAATTTAATGTAAATTTTAATGTATTTTCATTCCAATTTAGTAGAACATGGAGGCACTGGAAAATTTATACCATCACATGGAGTTCCATGATCTCTTTCCCTAATTAAATTGTCCCAACACTTTATACCACAGGGAAGCTTCTACATTACAAAACGAAAGCTAATGTTTGGAAACCCTGAGTAAAACACTGCTTATTAATGAAAAAGTAAAATTCCATCGTAGGAGGAATTTAAAATACTTTGCTTTATAAACTACAAAAAAGGAAAAATATCATTGGCAAGCTGGACACCATGTGCATTGCAATTATCCTAAATCTTTTCATATGCTTTTTCAAACACTTTGTTCTAAATCAATAAATTAAAGGAGAATGCCTAAGGCCAAGTTTTCATCAAGAAGATTTTAATTAATAAAGTTAGTACACTATAATTTTTAAAAATGCATTTGTTATAAAACCTCTGTAACTGATGCTAAAACCTTGAATATAGACAGATTATAGCCCCAACTACCTTGGCTTTGGACATTACTTAAGTCCAGATGTCATTTAAACTTTGGGTACTCACACCTCCAATGTATTTATCTTTTGAATTCTTAATTTCTTTTTAAAGTCATGAACCCCCAAATGTTAGCTTTGCTAGTCTTATATAAGAAAAAACTGACTGACTGACAGATGGAAAATTCAAATAATACAATGTATAGGGGAGGCCATAAACAATTCCACTCCACTGGTTTTATAATAACAATTTACTGAGCCTGACTGACTCTCCTACATCCTAATAATTAAAAAACTACTCCCTATTCCAAAATTAATGTGGAAAAATGAATCAATAAATTATATTTGTGCCTACAAACAGAACTTGTAAAAAAAAAAAAAAAAAGGTTGCAATTTTAATTATTTGATGCCAAAGAATATTTTACATATCTCCCCCAAAGCAACACATATCTCCAAACAGCTTAAAAAAAAAAAAAAGAATATAGCCTTTCGTGTAAAGAAATAATGCTTTACATAAGTATTGCAATTTGAGACAAAAAACAAATTAAGAAATAAAGGGCTAAGTTGTTCATAGTCTCAAAAAGTTCATTTTCATGCTTAGCCATCTTTAATCTAAAATTCTAAATCTGTACTCACTGATTCTGAGTGAAAATCTGCAGTCTGTTTAAAAGATTTTAAAACATAAATTTTTGAAAAACGGTGATTTGTTTTCCAACTAGAAGTCATTGCCTGATCATGAAGTAAGAGCAGAAGAATATAACGATAGGTGGGGAGAGAGGTGGTCTGAAAGTTGGGATACCTGAGTTCTAAACCTTACTCTGCTATTAAGTATGTGATTTTGGGCAAATCCCTTACCTTCCCAGAATTTCTCTCCTGTAAAAGTTAAGGCAAATTGTCCTAGGATATCTCTGAAGTACAAGGTCTAGTATTATAGTAAGTTAAGTCTATATAAAAGTTTATAAAATGCAATACTTTATTTTTCTTTTTCCCAAGATATGTTTGCCACTTATCTTTCACTTGATACATTCATCACTTGAATAATAATCCAAAAGAATTTCTTATTGATAGCAGTAGCCAATGAAAGATAAGTAACACATGTCAGTAAATCACATTCTACTTAAATTTTTTTCACTCAACAACCTTTTTTTATTTAAGATTTTATTTTAAGCAATCTCTATACCCAACATGGGGTTCAAACTCACAACCCTGAGATCAAGAGTCATACTCTACTGACTGAGTCAGCCAGGTACCCCCAACCTTTTTGATACCAGATTTTCTAGAAAAAAGAAGTACATTTACAACATCCAGGCAATATAATCGAAGCTCACTTATTATCCTCGGTCCAGGGTTCAGTGTGTAATGATACAACTCTGGAATCCCTTATATGCTAAATCACAGTTTTTGAAGTAGCTGTACTTTTATGAAATTAATTTGCTTTGAATTTATATGTGAGTAAATAAACAGTAATAGAAAATCTTAGAGATAATTTTATTAAATAAGTGGAGAATCTACACTAGTAGATCCTTAAGTCATACACAGCAAATCTTCTAGCTAATTATCACTGTCATATACCATTAGCCTATATTTCTTACTGAAAGACTACATACAGGAATATATATGAATGTGTACAAATATTTTTTAATGGAATGTACCTTATGTTCATATTATTTTTGTGTGTTTTTCCAAACACTTCAAATGGCCAAGAACCACTGAGCTACATATATTGTCACCTAATTTTTTAAGCCTATAAGCTTAAGAAGCAACCACACAGCTACAGAGCTCTTCTGCCCTGAGCTTGTAATAGTAAAATCCTTATTTTATAAGGTTACCAGCACCAAAGATTCAGAATCAAAGTGTTTATACACACTCCCCATGTTTCAAAAGAGGTAAATCTTGACAAGAATTTTTTTTCATCTATATATTCTTTGGGTCTGTTTCCATCTTTTTAGTGGGCAGAAGGTGGGCTTTGCTTTATTTCTTTATTTTAAACAGCTATACATATCCTATGAGTGAAGAAATGGTGCTTCATAAATTTGGCATTCTCTGTTTTACATGTAAAATTATTGAAGGTTGGGGTGCTTGGCTGGCTTATTCGGTAGAGCACACAGCTCTTGATCTCAGAGTTGTAAGTTCAAGCCCCATGTTGGATGTAAAGATTACTTAAAAATAAAAACTTAAAAAAAATTATCCAAAGTCTAAGTGATTGAGTTCTCCATAACACAGTATTGGTGAATGTATTCAGAGATTCCATCTGCCCATTATACCTGCACCATGGACGCCAAGGCTTTGTACAATTTGTATTTGAAATAACTTAGCATAAGCACTTCATTTCACAAATGTGAAAACAAGTCAAGTGACTCATACAATGTAACATGACAAATTATTTGAAGATCAAGGATCAAACTTCAAGTCTTTTCACTATTCCTTAATTTTCATCACCCTACTGACTTGTTTTTTAAAGCATCATTTGCAAACAACACCTGACTATACTTCCAAAGATAATTACCTCATCCTTAGTATTAGGAAATTATAAAGTTTTTTCTCATCGATTATGATCCTCAAGGTGAAAGGGGTGACATTTGTACATTCTTTCTGAAAAAGTAACTTTACCCCAAAATGCCTCACTCAAAATCCTTAAAATATCAGTGTTGTCATGTTCTGTCCTTCACACCCCCATTCTGCATGCATGCATGTGTGTTTGCTTTTTGTTAAAATAAAAGTTTTAAATACCCAACTGGAAGTACACAAACGTACAAGAGTTATTAATCACAAAGATTTTTTTATCACAAAGGTTTTGAGGGATAAAATTTTAAAAGGATTTTTAAGTTATGCTAGTATATTTAAGCCTCAATAGAGCCTATCATTCTACTTGCTAATAATTCAACTTAGAATAGTTTTAATGCGTAAAGTGGAAGCGTATCTAATGTTATGAGTGACTACATTCTTGTGAAACTTCTTGATACTGAATTATTAAATTAAACCAGGACACAAACCCTAGAACATGAAATAATTAAATATCTGTCTGAATTCCTGCTGAAGACAGCAAATTGAGCACACATACCTAATTCCCTTCCCTACCAAGAACCTACTGAAGTGACAGAAGACAGATACTTAAAAATACAATAATAGCACATAAAAACTGTAAAGTAACTGAGGATAAAACTAACATCAGTCCTACCTAAGTAAAACATAAAATGGAGAATCCATAAAGGAAAAAAAAAATCAACAAATTTAGCTAAATAAATAGTAAGACCTCTGAGAAAAAAAAAAAGAAACATAAATAAAATAAGACAGAGGTACTCTACAAGCAACTATTAATGAAATACATTTTTTCATGGCAAATATAAGAATACATACAATGTCTAGGTATCATTAAGAAATAACTAAAAACATGGGCAAAGGCAGAAACAAGTCAAGCATATCATAAAACATGAAATACAAATCATCAAAAAATACATTAAAAAATGCTCAACTAGGGACACATGGGTGGCTCACTTGGTTAAGCATCTGCCTTCAGCTCAGGTCATGATCTCAGGGTCCTGGGATCGAGCCCTGCATCAGGCTCCCTGATCAGTGGGGAGCCTGCTTCTCCCTCTGCCTGCTACTCCCCCTGCTTGTGCTCTCTCTCTGACATAAATAAAATCTTTAAAAAAAATGTTCAACTTAATTTCTAATCAAGAAATGCAAATTAAAACAATAAAATATTACTTTTAACTCATTAGTAAAAAGAGAAATTGTATACATCTGGAAAAAATTTAATAAATTCATAAGATGGAAAAATGATCAAGACATGATTAAGTCAACAAAGTAAGCTAATGAATAATGATCATATTTATGTTAAAAATAACATAAGTAAATTATTAATAGTGGTTACTTCCAGAGAGGGAAGTTAAAGTTGTAGGGGAAGAGAAGAAAATGAGTGTTCCAATTTTGCTCTATGAACATATGTATATTTCTTCAACCATTTCCAAGAACGTAACCTTGTAAAAAGTTAAAAAAGAAATGAAACCATAATACTAGATGACAAAAAAGGGTATCATCTAAAAAGACATTTTGCCAGAGTCCTACAAAATGTAAACAAGCAGGATGAAATTGATAGAAAAATAAAAGCAAAGCAAAACCATAGCCAAAAGATACCACAAATAAACAGAATTCTTTCTTTGAGAGTCTTGGAAGCAAGGAAGAGTTGGCTGTGAAACACACAGCAAGATAATTAAATTAAATCCATTCAGAATAGTTGGGCCAACTGAACCCTTCCTTCTTACCCTTCCGCTCCATGCCACAGGTCCAAGCACTCTACTGGGAGGCCCACCTCATCCACTTAAATGA